TTTGGGGTTTGTTGGACCTCTTGAATGAATATATTCTCGTCTTTCATCAAATCAGGGAAATTCTCTTCCAACAAATCTTTGACAATTTTTTTCTGTGGTTTTATTTGTCTCTTCCTGTTCTGGAATTCTACTTACATGTAGGTTATTCCTTTTGATGGTATCCCACATGAACCTTAGTCTTTCTTCATTTCGTTTTGATCTTTTTTCTGATTGATCCCTTTCCAAATAAGTATTGATATATTTGTCTTCAATCTCACTAATTCTGTCTTCCATTGATTCAATTCTATTCCTTTGCCCATGCAATGTGTTATCTGTTCCTGAGAATTTAGTATTAATCTTCTGGATTTCTATCTGTAGATTTTGTATCATTTCTAATTTTTCATTTATTTTGTCATTTTGTTCTTGTATTGTCTTTTGAGGGAACTCTGGTAGCGTAGTGCCTAAGGCACTTAACTGCTAACCAGAAGGCTGGTGGTTCAAACCCACCAGCCACTCCTTGGAAGGAAGGTTGGGCAATTTCCTTCCATAGTGATATTGGCTCGGAAACCCAAGGAGGGGTCACTATGAGTCGGGTCCAACTCATCAGCAAACAACAACATTGTCTTTCAAAATTGTTCTAGGGTTTTCTCTGTGTTTTCCTCAATTTTTGTCAGTGTTTTCTTGATCTGTCTCTCAGTCTGTTGAAGGTACCTAAGTCTAATTCTTTAGAATTCCTTAGTAGGGTGTTCTAATGTTGCTTCTTCCTCAGGGATGTGTTCTGGGTCTGTATCCTGGTCCCTCTTTGCTACTGCTTTGTCTTGCTTCTTTGTGTGGACTGTGATGGTTTGTTGTCTCTGAGACATTGTGACATTTTTGTGTTTATATTTAATTGGTGATTGTATGTTAGAGTGATTTTCCCAAGATTTTAATTTTCTTTGTTTTGTTTGGATGTATCTGTGTAACCAGGGTACTGTACTCCTCTTTTCACTAGTTGACGGCACTTATGCACTCACCATCTGTCTCCTTTCCATTTGTCAGCCTCCCATATGTCTGTGCTGTCTATGGCAAGCAGAGCCTATTCTTAGGGCCCTGGAATCTGAATGAAAATGCTGTCACTTTAAATATCCAAAATGGCCACCTCTTGTAAACATTCAAAATGGCTGTACCTTCTGGACAGCCAAAACCCCACAGCTCAGTTTGTCTCCTTTTTGCTATTTCCCTTCTTAGTCATCAGCTACCTGTGCAGTAGTCCATGCAGCCCTTGGTGAGAAGGGCTGATTTTTAGGTTAATTCTCAGGTCTAACACCACTTGGAAATATTCAGGCTGTCCATACTATCAGGACAGCTGACAGTCTGCAGCTCCATTTGTCTCCTTACTCACTGTTTTCATTCAGGTTCCTCTACCAGTTGATGTTTAATCCTCCCTTTCAATGCTCAGGGCTCCACGATTATCTTTTTTGTCTGTGCCAATTGGTTTCTCTTTTCTTTGTTGTAGAGGGTCTGTGTAGCTTGTCTGCCTATTCCAGAATCTTACCAGAAATCTGACCTTGTTCAAATTTAAACTGCTTAGATTTCACATAGCTCCTGATGGTGAAGGGAGAACTGCTCTACTCCTACCTCTTCACCTTACACCCCCAATTCTGGTCTGTACAGAAGGGAGGCTCTTGTGTTCACTCACATGTGGAAATTGTTGATACACCACTCCCACACACACATTTAATCACAAAACCTTCAGCCACCCCTCACACCTTGGCATGTGCATATCAGCAATGCAGTTTGCTTTTAGGGAGCTGACTGAAGAAACTGGTATGGGGCCTGAAAGTGAGCTCAGGACCATTTGGAGTGGACAGTCTATAGTCTCATGAGCTGGAGAGTGATATGCACAGAAGTTGGTAAAGTAGGGCACATGGCATAGTGAGTGCCTAAGGCATTTTGACTGTCAACCACAAGGCTGGTGGCCACAACTTGGAAGGAAGGTTGGGCAATCTACTTCCGTAGTGATACTGCCTCAGAAACCCAAGGAGGGGTCGCTATGAGTTAGGACTGACTCCACGGTAGTGGGTTTGGTTTGATCAGGTTTTATAAATAAAGTTTTATTTATTTACACCCACACTCAGTCATTTACATATTTTCTACAGCTGTTTCCTCATGATGATGGAGTTGAATAGTTGCAACAAAGACTATATCGCCTACAAAGGCTAAAATATTACTATTGTATCTTTTCCAGAAGTTTTGCAACCCTGATCTAGACAGTAGGGCAGATGGGGGCATATGCTCTTGATGCCGTGGACTTCCCACCTATAGAGAGTGAGTGACACAGCCAGAGGGCCACAGAGGGGACGTTTGAAGTGTAAACCATGGGTCCTTCTTACCTGGGTCTAAGAGAAGTACTGTATAGGTGTACCATTGCTCTGCATTGTCTTCTCCACTCTCTCTCTTTCCTAATTTAAAACACCTATCTTTGAATCTCATGTTATTAAACTATACCAAACTTATTGCAATAAGTCAACTGTGGACCCAAAGTCACGCTCACCATTCCGGGTTCATAATATGACAGAACATTCCTGTCATAATTCTTCCTATTTTATATAGAAAAAGGAATCAATAGGAGGAAAACTTCCCTAAGCTCTTGTATGAGCACGTCTCCTTCTATGTTGGTCCTTCATCAACATATGCCATCTCTCCCATCTCAAAAAATAAGTAATAACTACTGCCATCCACGACTGCCTTTGCTCTCTTCCTGTCATAGTGACTTCTAGAATGGGGTATCCTTACTTTCTATCTTTAGTTCCTCCATTTCTATCCCACCACTCCACTAAAACGGCTCTTGACAAACCCAACAGAACTTCTCACCTTTAGCCACATACAACCTTGCTGACCTAGTTATCCTCAAAACTCTCCATGATAACTCCCTGACCTGTGTTTCCTCCTACATCTGTGACTATTCCTTTATATTCTCCTTCAGTGTTGTAGTTCCTGGGGCTCTGACCTCAGGTCCCTGTACATATTCTTCCAGAGCAATGGCATCCAGTTCTACAGCTTCACTTACTCTCTCTATGCTTGTAATCTCTACTTAGTTCTCTCTTCTGGATCTCTCTCCTTAGATAACTCAAAAACATGTCAAATTTAACACATTCAAAATCAATGTCTTCTGTCTTCTAATGCTCCTCAGGTCAGAAAATGGCACTACCATGCACCCTGTTGCCCAAGAAACAAATTTCAGGTCATTTCTCCCTACTGTGTCCCCCAAATCTAATCAATCATTGAATCCCATCAGTGCAGATCCATTCACTGCTTCATGAAGTGTCCAGACAACACATATCCTCCTGGCAAGAAATTCCCATCAGGACTTCCTAACCGCAGCACAAGGCTCTATCAATCCATTCTCTTCACAAATCTGATGTTTTCCCCTTGATTTGTTATGATAAAGTGTTATCTCCTTAATGCAGTCTCATTGTTTCTGTGTCAACTCTCACTTCTCACACTCTATGCTCTAGCCATACTCAATTTCTTCGATCCTCCAAACAAGTTAAATTTGCCTTCTTTCACTTCTAGACCTTCTCTGCTGGCCTGGCGAGAAGAACGACAAAACAGAAACGAGATTAGAAAACCATTTCTATAGTCTAGGCTGGCGGGAACAAAGATATGAACTAGTCAGAGACTAGAAGACTGGAAAGGAAGGGATGGTTGCAAGAGACAGGTGATAAAAGAGTTTATGTACATGTATCCCTTATTACAAATCTGAACACCAGAGCTAAAAGCTACAAGTTCTGGGTTGCCTGAAGTGCAGGAGGGTTAGATGGAGGCAATAACTTAGGCTCTTTGACACCTGTTTGGCCCCAAAGTTCCATGTTGTATCCTAGTTATCCAATATATCACTGGTACTCAATAGGCCCCTTAGAAGGCTACCAGGTCAGGGCATCAGGGAAGATAATGTTTAGAGAACAATCAACAGTTAATAATTGCTAAAGAATTGCTTTACAACTTACTAACACTCGCATTTCTTGTTTAAGAAAACCAAAACACCCATTGCTATTGATTTTGACTCATAGTGACCCTGTAAGACCAAGCAGAACTGCCCCAAAGGGTTTTCAAGGCTGTAATCTATACGGAGCTCTGGTGGTGCAGTGTCTAAGGCACTTGACTGCTAACCAGAAGGTTGGCGGTTCAAACCCACCAGCCACTCCTTGGAAGGAAGATTGGGCAATCTACTTCCATAGTGACAGTGCCTTGGAAACCCAAGGAGGGGTCACTATGAGTCAGAGATGACTCCACAGCACAAAACAACAACAACAACAATCTATATGAAAGCAGACTGCCACATCTTTCTCCCACAGAACAGCTGGTGGGTTCAAACTGCTGACCTTTTGCTTAGCACCCAAATGCTTTAACCATTGCACCAGCAGGGATCCTTCTTGTTTAAGAGAATCATTTAAAAAACATGAGCTAACGATCTCTTACATTTAATCTTTCTTCCAGAAGGAAAAAATTCTTATGAATGATCTCACTGATCTTTATAATCTGAAATCAACATTTCTCCAAAGTGGCACTGTTGACATTTGGGGCCAAACAATTCTTTGCAGTGGGGGCACTCCTGTGCATTGTAGGATGTTGAACAGCATTCCTTATCTCTACCCACTAGACACCAGTGTTGTTGCTGTTGTTGTTGTTATGTGCCGTTGAGTCAGACCTAACTCACTGTGACCCCTCCTTGGATTTCTGAGGCAGTATCGCTGTGGAAGTAGATTGCCCAACCTTCCTTCCGAGGAGTGGCTGGTGGGTTTGAACCTCCAGCCTTCTGGTTAGCAGTCAAGTGCCTTAGGCATTACACTACCAGAGCTCCTGTAGCACCCTCCTAGTTAGCTTATAGACAACTTCAATTATTCTCTATAAGCTGGTGACTCTCAAATCTATGTCTTTAGCTACTGCCAAAAGTCCTATGGGGGGCCAAAATCACATATACATGAGAAACACTGTCCTAAATAATGTTTCCAAAATGTTCTTCAATGAACAAAGATTACCTGTAGGCTTGGGAGAGACATCGGAGTCCTCAATTTCACTTCCCTCAGTGCAGTCAGTATCACTTCTGGCAGTGCTCCTTCCAAAGCTACTCTTGTTGCCTTTAGATGGCTGCACAGGCAGTAACTCTGGGGAGGTATACGCTGGTAGGAAGTGGTCATCATCCAATTCCTCTTCGGAACTAAAGGGGGGAGTCCTAAAGAAATCAAAACCAAAACAGGTGGTGCTGTGTTCATAAATTTCAGATTTACTAACTATGCCTTGTGAATGGTCAGAACTTGCTCAGATAATCCCCAGAGCACAAAATCACATAGCAGTGTGACCAAAGATAAGATGGTGGTATGTTGAGGAGTTACGCAAAAAGAGTTATTCCAGATGTACCAACCATGGAGAATATTTGTCAAAATGCACTGAAGTTACAACATTTCTCCTCTAAATCCAAAATTGCATATCCTTCATATTCTTGGTTTTTACATACCTAAGAAAAGCATTTCTCAATAGAAGGAAATATTTCCTTCAATAAAACTATTCCACCTCTTAAAACAGTATTGTTATTTGTTACTTATATTTACACTGTATCTTACAAAGAGTTTACATTGACACACAATGTCATTTGATTTTTTAACTGAAAGGTAGGATATGTATTATTACCTCATTTAAAAATGCACAGAAGTTTATAGGAGTAACCAAACCAAACCTACTGCTGTCGAGTCAATTCTGACTCATAGTGATCCTACAGGACAGAGCAGAACTGCCCCATGGGGATTCCAAGGCTGTAAATCTTTACAGCAGCAGACTGCCACCACCTCTTTTGCCCACAGACTGGCTAGTAGGTTCAAACCGCCAACCTTTCGGTTAACAACCAAGTACTTTAACCACTGTGCCACCAGGGCATCTTTATGTTGTTGTTGTTGTTATGTACCGTCGAGTCAGACTCGACTCATAGAGACCGCTCCTTGGGTTTCCGAGGCAGTATCACTACGGAAGTAGATTGCGCCATCTTCCTTCCAAGGAGTGGCTGGTGGGTTTGAACCACCAGCCTTCTGGTTAGCAGTCATGTGCCTTAGGCACTATGCTACCAGAGCTCCCAGGGCATCTTTATAGGAGTATTAATTTATTTAATAAGTACTTACTGGGCACTTAAGTGTCACATAATGTATCAGTCTTTTAAATGTTGATTCTGTTATATTATGCCCCATGAAATGAAGCTTGTCCAAGGATATGTACATGAAGAGTGCTTTTGAAGGGTAAGTCACCATTCATATCATCTCCACTACACAATGCCTCAATGAAGGTATATTTATGGCATCCATATCCTCAGAATAAGGCAGAGATCATGAATTGTTATTGTGATAAAATTAATTTTTATTCATAATTATTAATAATAATATACCTACCATTCATTGAGTATTCACTAAGTGCCAGGCACTGAGCCAAGCCCTTTTCATATATTCTCATTCAATTTGAAGAAATATATGATGAGAAACCAGTATTTATCCTCATATTACAGATAAGAAAACAGAGATTTAAAACAGGTAAACAACAAAATCAATGAAACAGTTAATGAGTGACTGAGCTAAAATTCTTAGTATCCTCAGAGAACCAAAGAGAGTAAAGTCATTATCAACTTCCACAAGGATCTAGAACACTGAAATATCAACTGGAATAAACCTACATTTTCACTGATCCAGCCTTTAACGCCCAACATCATTCATTCAATTTAAACATATTTATTGAGAAATTGCTGGACTCCGGAGATAGGGATACAGAAATGATGCAGGTATAGCCACTCCTTGGAAGGAAGATGGAGCAATCTACTTCCATAGTGATACTGACTCAGAAACCCAAGAAGGAGTCACTATGAGTCAGGTCCAACTCGACGGCATGTAACAACAACAACAACAACATCGTCTCAGTGCTTTGTGGAAGTCACTATATAATGTATGTTGTTGACTTAAGTAATAAGTGATATGGAAACAAACATAACACAAAGTAAGACATCACAAATTTACAGCATTTAAAAATTACAGCTTTACTAAATGATTAGGTATGTCTATGAAATGGGGAGTGTATCCAAGATCATATATAGGGTTGGCAGACAATGGTCCTATAAGTTTATGTGAATGATCAGAATTCCCAGGTGTATAGTAGAGCTGACAAGGGGCAAGGTTGGAGTCACTGTTTGGTCATAGCCAGCTACCCAGAGTGACTGAGTAGTTGAACCTGAGGGCTTGGGACCATAGTCGCAGGAGACATCAAGCTCAATTGGCATAACATACTATACAGAACATTGTTCCACCTCCTACTTTGGCGAGTAGTGACTGGGATCTTAAAAGCTAGCAAGCTGCCATCTAGATGCAACAACGGGTCTCTCCTCGTCAAGAGCAAAGAAGAAAGAAGAAAACCAAAATTCATGGAAACAATCAGTCCTAGCGACTGGTACACCATCCGATCTGCAACCTATACAAGTATGAGACCAGAAGAACTAGATGGTGCCTGGCTACCACTGTCATCCACTTGGAAGGGATGTAGGAGATCCTGGATAGAGAGGGAGAACAATGTGGAACAAAACTCAAAATCATTTGGAGGCAAAAAAAAGAAGGTGGGGACCAGGTTTGCTGGTCCAATAGAGCCTGGTGGAACCACTGAGACTATGGCCCCTAGCTGCCCTTCACGTCTGGAATTGAACCCACACCTGTGGTTTCCAGCCAAACGAAGTACAGGCATGTGAGTTAAACATTTACCTCAAGTAGACACACGCCCTGGAGAAAACAATCATGGGAGAAGGAAGGGCTGCACATCTCCCTTGTGTACAGGGAGACAGCTCAGGGCACAGGAGAGTAGGAGGAATGGTCACTGGGAAGAGGTAACTATGGGGTGGAAGTAGGAGGGGAGCTGTTGCATTGTAAACTGTGGTCGATGACATGAGACAAAGTATATGTGAACTGCTGTATGGAAAGTGAATTTGCTCTGTAAATCTTCACCCAAATCACAATAAATAAAATAAAATTTTTAAAAAAAATTACAGCTTTGGCCAACAACAATAAGCATGCTAATTTACATTGAAAGGGACATTGAGTGTAAAGAATTTTTTTAATGGCCTTCCCCTCCTCAAGTACTCACGTAACAGTTGGAGACTTTCTCAGAAAATTATCTTCTTTGAAATTTTTCCCAATTCTAAAAAATAAAAAAAAATTTCTAAACTGCCTGAGTGAATAATATAATTTAACAAAAATTTCTATGTAATTGGTAATTTTTACTTCTAACATATACTTATGAAAGAGAACAACATAAAAAATCTCCTGGTATCAACGAGAGACTGGTAGGAACTACGAGTGTAATTCTCTGCTGGGTCAAGCATTAACAAGAGAATTAAAAATACTCACTTTGGGAAAAAAAAAAAAAAAAACTCACTTTGAAGCTGATGTCCTATCAGTAAAAACAGGTTTTTGTCTAACCAAATGTCTGCTTTTCCGAGGAAGTTGCACTGCTTTCGGGATTTCTCCAGTTGAAAGGGAATCCACTTGAGAAGCACAGTACTTATCTGGAATAGCAATACCACCCATGAGTGTCCACTGTCTTTGTGCTCAGCAAGTGGTAAGCAAAGGTGAACCGTGCAATACTGTCTACACTGCCCTTGAAACAAATAAGCAAGTCTCTAGAGTTTAGAGTCTACACTAAAGGCTTTGAAAAAACCAAAGAACATAAAAACAAAATCAAGACCCAATATAGACATGTGCTGCTTAACATCTGTTGGGGCAACATCCAGCTGCCTATATGTCCATGGTTCCATTATTTTTTTAAAAAGAGAAAGCAGCTCTACTTTTATTATTTCCCCCTAATAGTTTTAAAGATCCCAACTCCAGACTCTTACAGCACTGGACCATAGGTAGGATACGGGCAGGTGAGGCAGAGGGCATGGCTCTCGGCAGGAGTTCTCAGGCTTTTCCTGGTGGTCTACGGCCTGGGCTGCTCCTGCCATTCAGGCAAGTGGAACAGCGGGTGGGGCTGATTATGCTTCGTTCCCTCCCTGCTCGCTTCCTCTGCCTCTTCTCCCACTGCTACCCTCTTAGCCACCACTGCTGCTGCTGTTGCTACTGCTACTGCACAGCCCACTCCTCCAGCCCCCACCAGCAGTTCCAGCAGCAGCAATGAGGACAACTAGAAGCCGGCTCCCATAACATTTTAATACGGTGTCTGCATAACATCCAAATCCCACAACATCCTATTTCACAGAATGTATTGTGGATGTGAAGTAACATATACCTGTACTTAATAATTCAAAGAGTAAGGGAGTTGCCAATGAAACACAACTCATTTTTATGTAAATCATTTAAAATTTTTAAAAGGTTGCTGAATTGCACTCCCATCTGCAGTGATCAATGGAAGTTGGGTAACGGGCTTACCTGAAGACAGCAATGTTCTCTCCTCAATTTTACAGCTGATCTTATGCTCAAGGAATTCCCGAATTTGATGAATATTAGGCATTTGTCTTTCTCTTTCATGTCTTGCCAATTCCACAGTTCTCAGCACTCTATTCAAGTGATCGCTTGAAATACCACGAATATCCTGAAGAATTAAAATATTAATCGTAACCTATTATATAATTGTGGGATGTTTTCATTTCACAGGCTTATGTTGGTATTAACTGTGCAAGCCTTTCAGTCCATCCTTCCTGAGCTCCAGCTGCATAAAAGGTGGAGGAAGCCCCAATATATAACACACTGTTCTGATCCAAAAGCCCACAGTGAGCTGGACACATGAGGTATGTGTATAACCAAATGACTGGTTAGCCAATAATGTAAGGCCATGTGTGATGAGGACTGAATGAATCCACAAGGGCTAGAAGGAGCATGGCCCACAGAAGACTCCATGGTCAGAGAAGACTTAAAGGGGAGAGTAGAGTTGTGCTCTGAAAGTGGATGGGATAAATCAAGTAGAAACAAGGGGTATTTCCAGATGAGCAGAAGTACACTGTTCCTGGGAAGGGCAAATGGTTTGCACTCATGTACCTAAAGGTTAGTGGTTTGAACCCACCTTCTAGAAGCACCACAGAAGAAAAGCTGTATCTGTTTCCATAAACACTATAGCCAAGAAAGCCTAATGGAGCACAATTCTACTCTGTCAGAAGTGACTTGATGGCAACAGATTTAGAGGTGCCTTGTAGGAAAAGCATGGAGGAGAAATAGCCAAGGTATGTCCAGTGGGTTAATGCTACAAAGGACCAGGTGATGAGATGTCAATAAAAAATGCTGTTAATGTACATGTCAACTTAACTGTTGTTGTTTTACTACATATTATATATTTTCCACAATAAAAAAATGTGAAAAGCAGAAGAGTGTATATGGAATCTGACACACGGAAACTATTCAATCTGGGAACAAGAAATACAATTTTGGGTGAATATCTTAATGTAGGGAGCTCTGGTGGTAGAGTGTCTAAGGCATTTGACTGCTAACCAGAAGGCTGGCAGTTCAAACCCACCAACCACTCCTCGGAAGGAAGACTAGGCAATCTACTTCCATAGAGATACCACCTCAGAAAGCCAAGGAGGGATCACTGTGGGTTGAATCGACTTGATGGTATCGAATTTGGTTGTTTTTTTTTTTTTTTTGGTATCTGAATGTAGGCAGCATTTCAACTGCCTGGATACAAATCCTGGATCCTTCCTGACTAGGTATGTGATCTTAAGCCACTTCCTTAACATCTCTGCAAAATGTAGATAGTGTTACTTATTTCAGAGATGTATTTCAAGTTTTAAATGAGTTAATATTTATAAAGCTCTTAGGAAGGTGCCTAAATATCATTTAAGTATGTAATAGAAAAATAATGTTACATTAGCTTCTGGTATCCAAATGTGACCAGAATTGATATGCCTTCTTCTCTTAATCTGATTATTTTTTATTTAAACAACACCACTAGTAATTATTCAAGAAATGAATGAACTTACTGCATCAATCCCCAAGGTTTCCAGTTTCTCCACCAAACTCTGCTTTAAAACTGCTCTAATTTCCTTAGTGAGGGAAGATTTATTCTTCAAGGCTTTCCTTAAACTTATCTTGTTATTTAATTTCTGCTCATTCTCCCTTCCTGAAATGAGGAGAAATATGCTAAAAATGAATTTCAAGAAATACATATTCAAATCTCTAAACAGATAATAGTAAAATATGACTCAAATAGAAATAAACATCTCAAATATTCCTAATTTGGGGGATATTTTAGTCATTTGACACAATATACAGTGGTTATGTATAGTAGCTTTTTTCTTCTTTTTTTATTGTGATTTGGGTAAAGATTTACAGAGCAAATTCACTTTCCATACAGCAGTTCACATACACTTTGTCTCATGACATTGACCACAGTTTGCCACAATGCAACAGCTCCCCTCCCACTTCCTCACCATAGTTACCTCTTCCCAGTGTCCATCTACCCATGCACTCCTGCCCCCTGAGCTGTCTCCCTGTCCCTAAGCAGCCCTTCTTTCTCCCATGATTGTTCTCTCCAAGGAGTCTATCTACCTCAGGTAAATATTCAACTCATATGCCTGTCTTGTTTGGCTGGAAACTATGGGTGTGGGTTCAATTCCAGAGGTGAAGGGCAGCTAGGGGTCATACTCTCAGTGGTTCCACCAGGCTCTATCAGACCAGCAAACCTGGTTCCTCCCCTTTTTTTTTTCTCCAAATGATTTTGAGTTTTGTTCCACATTGTTCTCCCTCTCTATTAAGGATCTCCTACATAGATCCCCTTCCACGTGGATGACAGTGGTAGCCGGGTATCATCTAGTTCTTCTGGTCTCATAGTCATATAGGAGGCAGGTCTGATGGTGTACCAGTCGCTAGGACTAATTGTTTCCATGAATTTTGGTTTTCTTCATTCTTCTTTGCTCTAGACAAGGAAAGACCCATCACTACATCTAAATGGCAGCTTGCTAGCTTTTAAGATCCCAGTCGCTACTCGCCAAAGTAGGAGGTGAACAATGTTTCGTATAGTATGTTATGCCAATTGAGCTTGATGTCCCTTGCAACTATGGTCCCAAGCCCACAGGTTCAGTTACTCGGTCCTCTGGGTAGCTGGCTGTGACCAAGCAGTGACCACAAACTTGCCCCTTGTCAGCTCTACTATACACCTGGGAATGCTGATCATTCACATAAACTTATAAGACCATTGTATACCAACCCTATACATGTTCTTGGATATACTCCCCATTTCATAGATATACCCAATAGTTCAGCCTGTCGACCCATCTATCCACCCATATACCCTTGTTTGCCTTCACTGACAACGCAGTACTGCATGTGCAAAAGGGTTCATATTTGTTGTCTGTACCTCCCATGTACCTCTCTCTGTCTTTCTCATCCTCAATGCTGCCATATTGGTCACTCACATTT